TCACCAGGTTGATACTGAAGCCCATACACTCTCAGTGGCATAGCTCATTCCTCAACTGGGCCATAATAAGTCAGTCGTTGAGATAAGGATGCGTACCATCTTCTGTCTCAGGGGGGAGAGTGCCGCATCCATTTCGTGAAGGTGAAGGGTGCAAGTGACAGTCCGAATGGTAGGACGGTAAACTGGGAAGCCAATCCTATGAACCCAAACCTCAAAAACAGTCTGTGATGAGAGGCTATCTGGAAATCAAAGTATGTACTTTTCAGATCCACTGATAAAAAATAAATCCACTGAGCGAATCTGAGAGGGGATTTGTTTCAAGGTTAACATTTTGAACTGACTATTTGAAAATTTAGCGCCTTCTAAACCACAGTGAAGTATTCTGGAAAGCCGTCCACTGTCGAACCGATAAGCCAAAGGTGGCGCTCAAGGTGGCGGGCTGCCGTGTAAGCCCTTGCCACCAGGGTTGATGTGGCTCTGCAGGGGTTAGAGAGATGGGCAGCTCGGTCAGGCGTTTCAGCCGAGGGCCGCAGGTGGACAGAGGTGCGTAGTGACAGCCTCTTCCGGCGGGGTTCTCGTACCCCCTCTGCTCCACGCCATCAACAGAGGTGAGGGTGGACAAAACTGATGAGTGGACGTGAGCCAAATAGGGGGCACGCCATGACTTAGTCAGCTCGTCGTGTACTTCCAAGAGAACTGAGCTGGTCTCTGGCCCGTTGGCAACAACCCGGCTGCAGGAATCAATAATTGAGACAGCTGCATGAGGGCTTGGCCAGAGCTGATCAGTCCAAACCCAGCACCTCAAGGGTCTTGGACAGGACTCAGATGAGATCGGGCTGGGAATCATCTGGCCTGCTCTGCAGCAGGGTGGCGAAATCCTCCACAGGGATTGACCACTCCCCCGTATCTGAAGCAGCCAGGGACAAGGCATCATCGCTGTCATCCTCCTCGGAACCACCGAACAAGATCATGCTGCTTGCACCGGAAGAGCCCGCTTCCTTAGCCCAGCAACTTCGCTGCTTCTTCCTCTTAGGCTTGTGAGAGGAGGGGGATGAGAACAGGGGAGCGTGAGGGGTGGAGTCACTTAGCTTGAAGGCGATCCGCGAGTGCAGCGAGGCGAGACTCATGCTCTCAAAATGAGAGCAATCTATCTCAATGAGCGCGGCCTCGGCATGGCTGGGCAGGCATTCCACTGCAAGTGCCACACTGGTGGCAGAACCTTTTGAAACAAACGTCGCTAAAATTTGCTCTTAAAACGTGAGATAGCTCACAGGATAGCCGCAGGGGTGAAAATAATCGACAACGAATTTGATTATCGATTAGTCTTGTCTGCGTGCTCTGCTTGGAAACCATCTGCCAGTTACATCGCTTTAGAGTAGTGAATAACCCATTTCTGTGGACAAAACGCATATGGAAAATAGCGGAGGACACAGAGAGAGCTGCTGCCAGAAAGGTACATGATCCAAGTTGTTTGAAACATGAGAATGCTTTATATTTATAAGAGCTTCAATTAAAAGCATAAGTGTTTAACGCCTTTTGCCCTCTCGTGCTTTGACAGATGCGCGTGCTGTTTAATAATGCCTTTCCTCAGCACACAACTTAAATTTTATGGTTATATCCTAATCTGCAAATGCTAGAAAGAATAGCTGTGATGATTTCTCGATTAAATTTGAGTACTCTATTTTTTTTAATCATCAATTGCAATTTACCTGTGTCGAGTAACCGGCAAAATATCGGAAGTGGCGCATTCCACGGACGAGAATCCATGAATCGCTTTATTAGACCATTTTCTAAGGCTGCACGATATATTAAAAATGCTTTAAAAATCATAGCATAGTGCTATTGTGAATTCACAAAGGCATAAATGCCCCACAGGTTTAATATATGTGCTTTATTTACATACGTCACGTGCGTCTCAGAGCGGCTCCGTTCAAATGCTGCTCAAAGGCTGAGCGCGTTTCAAACTCCATCTCTGAGTTTGGGTTGCTTATAACGTTCATCTGGGAACGCAATATGCACCAGAGAGGCATCAGAATTGTAAGGTGAATCATTTATAAACCTACGCCAATACAGGAGAATATATCAATGTGTTTCTAAATATGCAAACTGTTCATCGCAATTTCAAAATAAAAGTTTAAACCGTCTGAATTTTAATGTTTTGATGTCCACATATTCAATTACATGCCATTTGGCCAAAATTAAACAAGGATTTGATCTGCTGTAAAGTGTAATAACACCAGACCGCTGGCGCCCTCTGCAGGCATTTGTTATAATACATAATGAATTGTTTATATTATATATATGTATTTTGACAGTGATGTTCTATGAAACCATATGATTACTTTCTTTTGATACTTTATTTGAAGAAAATTTGCTTCATTTATATGTATTTTAAGTCATTTTAAAGGCTTATGTCTTTGCTTAGGTCTATTTTTATTACCAGAAAAAAACATTATCTGATTACTCAATTAATCATCAATATAATCGACATATTACACAATTACCAAAATGTAACAGAAGTAATCATATTTATGAAAGTAGGAACAGTAAAGGCACTATTGTTGGTATAACCCATTAATGTAATATAATTACTATGTTCAGAAGAGTGAATGTGTGTGTTCCTCATACAATTTAACATTTTGTGCTTTTTTTTTTTTTTTTTTTTTTTAATTTTTAATTTAGTCATTTTAATTTCTGCTTTAAAATAGTGCTCAATTACCCTACATATTAACTATGTTTCTGTCACGGCACGCACACGCAAACAGGTAATATCCAAGTGCATTTATTGGTTAATCATAAATCCAGGCAGGCAAAAGGTAAAAGTCCATACAAGGCAATCCAGAAACAAGAGTAACAGACTTCCAGAAGCAGTGTGACATTCAACAAGGACTCCGTGACAATGACTGAACAGACAGGGTATAAATACACAGATACTAACAAGGTGAGGGGAAACAGCTGCTTGCCATGATCAATGATGAGACAGACAAGGATGATGGGAAATGTAGTAAATAAGTGTAGGACACCGTGGAGGAAGAGGACCTCTAGTGGTTACCCAGGGATACACAAACCAGACACTGTGACAATTTGTTTTCATAGGCTTTATATTATACGTTGTTTGGAGGACAGCATTGGGCAGGATGTGGAATAATATTGTTTAAAATAATATTATATATATTATATTTCCTGGAGTTTTTTTGTCTACTGAAATTCCTTGGAAAGATATTTTTGCAGTGTTTCGTCAGCAGAAATTCAAAAACAACTGTTTTTGTACAGTAAAGTACAACCCACTGAAGAGATTTATGTCTATCCCTCAGCCTCACTTTCATTCCCGTTAAAAATCAAAGATGGCGCTTGTGGATAAGGTGTATTGTAATGATAAAGGCTGTTTATATGTGTTTAACTGTTGTATAAGGTAAACATGTCCATTTAAATTGTGGCCAACATTCCAAAATCATTATTGTGCACAAAGATGCATATATGTATAACTGATACATTTACCTTGTTGTAACTTAGAAACATCCTCCTTGTGATATGACTCAACAGCACATGCTCCTGTTTGTTGTTTGTCTTCAAGGTGTTCAATGGCGTCTTCAAATTCCTTGATTTGAAAGTTTTTCAAGCATTAGTGGGATGCAAACTCATGTCTGTCAAGACTAAATTTGACTAAATGCTATATAAGTGTCTGCAACTCTGTCTAAATCACGTTATTTGCAAAGAAATCTGCCTTATGAAAGAAAGAAAAAGTGGTGCTTACTTCATCCTCACTGGGGCAGTCCATTTTTCTTGCGAGACTCCTATAAGAAATATGATGCAGAATTAATTACATAAATGAATAGGCTATAAATATGATTCAGTAGAGTGATAAAAATGGTGGCTTCAATTATTATACATTATTATACATTAAATAATCTCACATTGTATTTTGGATTTAAAGCTTTCTTAACGATTTGGTACATTTCTTTTTGCAAACCATTTTACTTCTAAAATGTGATGTAGGCCTATGTGAAACTTAGGCTACAGCCAGATATGTACCTACTGTTCAAATGTTAAAATGGGATAAATCAGTAGTCTACCTATCAAACAGTTTGGAACAAAGCAAAACTTTTAACACTCGCATGAATTATCATGACCAGATTATCCAATTAGGCTTTTGTCATTTGGGAACGATTCCATTAACCGAGGATGAATTCACAATCACAAATAACACTGTAGGCAAATAAAGACGGTGATTCAGCAAATCTTATCGATTATTAGGCTACTTACAGCTTATTATCAAGTGAAGGAAAACCTCTGCATTTCAAAGTCGTCACTCCAGATCTTCTTTTGACGGGGGCGGGGGCTCTAACCCAATTTATACGCTAAAAAAGCGAGTGACTCACCAGACTAAACCATTTAGGCAACAAGTCTATTTTTCAATAGCGTTTATACCCTGTTAGTTTAAGCGCTTTAAGAATACTTACGTTTGCTTACAATTTAATTTTCTCCTAATTAACCGAAGTTTCTACGCCTTAAATTTGTGCAAAAACGCAACCACAACACATTTTCAGTGGTTTGGTCCTAACACTTAAAATGAAACTATGCATTACCGCTAAAACGAAACTTAAACTAGAAGGACTAGCCTGTGGCATTTCTGGTAAAAAAAAAAAGCCGAGTAGGATTGTGAAATGGCAACGACAAAACCTTTTTATTTATTTTTATTAGATGTAGCCTAGCTAGTAAATGTAATTAAAAAAAAGTAAAAAAAAAAATGGGTGTTAGTTTACCATGTGGTGTTAGTCATAAATATAGCCTACATGGATGGAGGGCAAAACATCCATAGAACTGTCAATTGTTCATCTGTTTTAAACTAAATATTTTGATAGTTAGTTTATTCCAATAGACATAGGCCTACTCTGATTGCCATTTCCTATATGAACTGAATTTGTGATCGATCATTAATTAATTCATTCATTCATCATTCATTCTGTTTTTCGAAACCTCCCAGTGTTATAGTGATCAGATAGGCTTACACATATGCAGGCTAAGAGAGGTGATGATTTGCATATGGTGACTTTCACTCTTCCAGGTTATCAGTCTGGCTTGGAACACCATGGAAGAACAGATGGTTCGGCGTGTCTTTGCCTACAAAAAAATGGAAATTTTGTCATAGACACTGATATCTTCTCAACTTCTCAATCTCTGATGGCTCTTTGTAAGGTTTTTATCTTCAGACTTCTTCTATTGACAGGTTTGCGTCTGGCAGGCGGCTCAGTCTCTGACAGCTTTAAGGAGTGCAGTCAGTTCTTCTATATGCATACGGCGCCCACAGGCATCCGAGGGGGGAATCTGAAGAGGATATGCCAACGCTACGGAGATAAACTACGTTATGCCACTATGTACGACAGCAGTCGCCGGCAGGCACTTTATTCAGCGTACACCTTTAAAAAGTCAGATGGACAGAGGAGGATGGACACACCCTGGATGTATGAGCCACAGGTAAAGCAGAGAGCCTTATTTTATCTCATTACATTTTATTTAAAGGTGCACTATGCGGGAATTCCGTTTTTGTCAAACAGCGACCCCTAGAGTCGCTGTTGAGTACTTGTACTGTCGTGAATAGCACTCACGCAGAGATGGCTCTGCACTCACGGCCGGATCCTCTCCCCCTGTACACCGGTACCTGTTCAGTAGGATGGACGCTGTAACGAGTGGAAATAAGGTATGGCCCTTTAAGAGCTGCGCGCCCTGTTTAACTGTCGGCAGTCTGTATTGTATGTGCGCCTCGAACACCACATGTATACGGCGCCGGGTTATTTCGGTTTGATGCTTATTTTATCAGAATTTTATCAGATCTTTTTTGCCGTAAAGCAATGCGTTACATCGCGAGACCTGATATCACACGATACTTCCTGATGCTGCGGCCGGCGGGCCGCCGGCTCAAAGTTGCAAGTGTGTTTTTTCCGCTCACATGCGATAGGGGGGTGCGAAACGACCACCATTCAACCTGAAAAGAGTAATATAACCATTCCAATGACTCTGAAGCTGTTCGGTTGAGGTAAAAAACCTGCATAGTTCACCTTTAAAAAATAAATGAATTGACCATATGCACGGTTACTTCCTGGTTTTCGATAAGCTTGGGCATTTCCATTGTCATTCTTGCTGTAAATCGACACAAAACCACCAATGGTTGACTTTTCAATGTTGTATTTATATTTCAATGCAGTTATCACACTTATAACTTGTCAATAAACCAGTTTTATTGATTGCAATAAAGACAAAGCTAATGGGAACGTTGGAATAAGAAACACGGTGTCTGTAATTGGACACATGCACGCAACATTTTTCCAGCACTTCAAATGTTATTTTTAATGTAATGACCAAAAACATTATTTTTGTTCACTCTTCTGAGATTGTCCCCATTTGTAAAACCGAATGTTTCAAGATTTATGAAATACAACATTTGATAGAATAACATTTTATATTTAAAAATAAACAAGACATTAATTACCACTATAACAAGTAGATGGCAGCAGAGAGGCATTTTTTTGGCTCATGTTAGGTTTCGCTTTTGAATAAATATTAAATATAATAAAACCCTGGGTTTATAAATACATTTTGCCAAGGTGAAGTATGAAGTAGGCTACTTACAAAGTTTTATGAAAAACAATAACTTTTCTTCAAAATGCAAATAAATTTAAAGAGAGCAACGCGCACTCCCTTTATAATCACAGAAGCTGTCAGTCAGTGCAACGCATTTCACCGGAAGTTTTCCTATATTATTGCGGAAGTTCTTAAGAATATTCAAACATTCACATTAAAATGCACAAATTCACGTCATTTCATATTTACATGCAATCCAGGGATGCCTGCATAATTTTTGAGGTCTGAACCTCTTTGACCTAATATATTTACTTAAAGCACCCCCTGAAATTTTAAGGTTAATAAGGTTAATAAAATTAAGTTAATTATATATATATATATATTTCATGGTTCTCTGATGTCGATTAATGGTCACATGACATGCAGGTAAACAAATAAAATATGTATCTTTTTTATAATTTTTAGTAAGTGTTTTATTTTGATTGTTTCTATTTTAAAATAATGTAATTTAATTAAAAAAATGTATGATTTAATAACTTTTTAGCTTTTCATCAAACTCATCATGAGCCCCTGTCAGGTAAACCCTGACGTAATAATGCACTTCATAGTTATTGACAACAAAGAATGGAATATATTTTCTTTCTCTTGTATTTCTATATCAATACGGTACAAGAATATCCTATTCAAATCAATATGATAAACGAGTTAGGTCAAAAGTAATCAAAAAGTAGTCGATACCTTAAATGTGTAATGTAATGGATTATGTTATGTAATTTGTAATCAGTAACCGACTATAATTTGTACGTAATATACTCAGCACTGCTCATAAAATAAAACCAAATTATACTGTTTAAATACGTTTGATATTCTTTCAATATGAGTTTCTATGGTTTCTGATTTCTTGTTCTTTTGCCTTCCACAGCTGGTTTCTGCTGATGAAAGCGGGAACATGAGAGTCTTGCCCTCTAGTGGTGAAACGGACCAACTGCTTGAGGAGAGCCAGGCCGTGCTAGCAGACTATGTTGATGCAGTGGAGTTCGTGCGAGGCTCACTCAACCCTGACCAGCACCAGGCCGACAACCAAGACAAAGCAGCTACCTATACACTCACAAATGTGGTACCTCAGATCACAGACTTTTTGGAGGGCCCATGGGCCACATATATTGACACGGTGCGGCGGCGCCTGAATAACTTCTGCCGTGGGTCTGCCTATGTGGTGACCGGGGTGACTGTTTCGGGGGTGACCATCCGAAGAGAGAGTGAGGAGCGCATGGCTGTCCCGAAGCACTTGTGGTCGGCTTATTGCTGCCCCCGCTTTGATCGAAACTCTCCCTATGAAGTACGGTACATGTTCCCCACTTACGCAGCATATGCTTTGAATGAGATAGTGGGACACAGTGTGACAGAAGTGCCTTTGAAGGCTTTAGAGACCTTTCTGAGAAGTCAGACTGACATGGACAAAAGCGTGAGCATCTTTTTCAAGGACTGCGTCTCAGAAAATACGCATACCAATGGGAAGTGAATGAAAGCGAATTGAACTCTGGATTTGTGTGTGCATCTGTGCATGTAGTAAATGCAAGAACCAGGCAAGATAATCATATAAATAAACTAATAATGAAAAATTAACTATGAAGAAAAATGTCTATGAATGTGGCTTACGGGGAGTTCTGCTAAGAGCGCTGAGCAAAGACAGATAAAGGTTTAATAATCAAAACATATGTGCTCTAACCGTGTGCTGTAATATTTTGGACTTAATTAATTAGTCAGCCAGTAAAAACCCACACTCTAAAAAATGCTGGGTTGTTTCAACCCAAATTTGGGTCAAATATGGACAAACCCAAATGTTGGCTTAAAAATGCAATTAAAAAATTTACAGTTGAAAGTGAAATTTGAAGTTGGGTTAAAATTTGAAATTACTTTTTTAACCCAACATTTGGGTTTGTCCATATTTTACCCAAATTTGGGTTAAAACAACCCACCATTGTTTAGAGTGAGAACATTGCCCTGATTTCCACTAACGTTCTAAAGTTATGTATGTTAGGACAGCAAGTTTTAAAATAATGTTTATGGAACATTCTTATAATGCTATTAATATTTAATATACGTTCTCATAATGTTGAGAAAACTTTCTTAGAATAGCATTCTTGGAACATCTTTATAATGTTATTTTTATTTTCTGAATGTTTTCATGCACTCTAAAAAATGCTGGGTTGTTTCAACCCAAATTTGGGTCAAATATGGACAAACCCAAATGTTGGGTTAAAAATGTAATTAAAAAATGTACAGTTGAAAGTGAAAGTTGAAGTTGGGTTAAAATGTTAAAATAGATCTTTAACCCAACATTTGGGTTTGTCCATATTTGACCCAAATTTGGGTTAAAACAACCCAGCATTGTTTAGAGTGTGATGTTATCATAAAACGTTCTGGAAAATGTTCATACTTTGTTTATAATTTGTACTTAATGAATGTTCTCGTAGAGAGAAGCCTTCATGGAATGTCCTTACAAGGCTATTTTTACTGGATGAACATTCTCATAACATTGAGAGAACGTTCAGAAAACATTCAGAAATAATGTTTCATAACATTTTCAATATGATAGAATGTAATGTTCCTCTAACGTTCACATAAACCAAGAAAAAAACATTCTTGAAGGTGCAGTAAGCGATTTTAATAAACTGTTGAAAGTGGATCGGACTGAGCACCAAAACACACTTGTAGCCAATCAGCATTAAGGGGCGTATGCACTCATTAGGGGGAGGTGCCTGTGTTCCATAGCGGGTTTGTGAATTTGGGGGCAGAGCTATCAAGATAAGGGTGTGATCCTTTTAGGTAGGGGCGAGTTTATTTTGGTGATTTCAAATACAGTATCAACAGTGTTTCTCAGAAATCGCTTACTGGCACCTTGAATACATAAAAAAACCGGATGTTTTGAACGTAAAATTTTCATAACATTTTCAAAATGGTAGAATGGAATGTTCCTTTAATGTTCACATAAACCAAGAATAAAAAGCTTTCTTAATACATTAAAATGAATGTTACGAATGTTAAAAAAAAAAAACATTCAGAAATAACATTTTCATAACTTAAGGGGAATGTTAAAACATTTGTGTTACCTTCCCAGCAAACTCTACCTGGGAAGTGAATAAAGTCACATATCAGATTTTGTCATACTCTTTGTGGATCATTTCCATTCTTATCCTGTCGTCACACTGTAGAGCAGAGTGTGTGTTATGAATTCATTTAGCTTATATCATTCCATTAAAATATCTCTTTGGTTTTATATATATATATATATATATATATATATATATATATACATATTCATATACAGTATATAAAGTGGTGCTTGAAAGTGTGTGAACCCCTTGCAGAATCTGTGAAAATGTGAATAATTTTAACAAAATAAGAGGGATCATACAAAATACATGTTATTTTTTATTTAGTACTGTCCTGAATAATATTTACATAAAAGATGTTTACATATAGTCCACAACAACAAAAAAGCTGGATTACCTGGTTGGTTACCTTTTTTTTTATGTTCTCCCAATGTGCTTCAGAAAAATCCTCCAGGCCCAAAAAATTCTTTAGTTTTCCAGCATCTTTTGCATATTTGAACTTTTCCCAGCAGTGACTGTATGATTTTGAGATCCATCTTTTCACACTGAGGACAGAATTGAGAGCCTCAAACACAACTATTAAAAAAGGATCAAAGATTCACTGATTTTCCAGAAATAAAAACACGATGCATTAAGGGCATGAAAACATTTGAACAGGATGAAGATCTCCAAATTGTTCTTATTTTGTTTAAAAATCTATTTATTTATTTGTTTAATTTAGTTCTGCACTTCTGAAGCAACAAAAGATACTTACATGTTTCCTGGAAGACAAAAAAAGTACAATTTACCAAATTTAAAAAAGTTTTCACTGTGAAAAGTGTTTCTATCTGGAGCATTAGTGAATGTTTGAACTTTTTTAATAGCTGTAATTCAGTCCCTCAATTGTCCTCAGTGTGAAAAGATGGATCAAAATCAAAATCATACAGTCACTGCTGGAAAGGGTTAAAATATGCAAAAGATTCTGAAAAACTGAATATGTATGTTTTTAATTGCTCAAATTGTTGGCTTTTTTACACAATTCACAGGTGAGCACTCATATAGTTAAAGTCTGCTCTTGTTATTGTTAGATGGTATTTGTTAGAGTAACTGCTGACATTTTGTCCTGAATGAAGAACATTGGTGTAAGGAAAAGTCCCTGAGTACAGTTTATTGTTTTCACATTTATTGTGCTTGCGTAAATTAAGTGTTTCATTGCATCAAAAGTTTGTCTAAAAGTAGATGTCAGTTCAATTTTAATTAATTTTTCCAAAGCGTCTTATTTAGGCACAGTGCTGGGAGACTATAACATTAGTGAACATTAGAGCAGTGAGCAAATTTACCTTCCTGATTTGCATGTAGACGAGGATAACGGCACACTGAAGTTTGTCTTATCAATATGCTTTACATTCAAGTTTTACAGATCAGACTCTCCGAACATGGTTTTGCATGTAGGCCTACTTTGTACTCTGTCTCGGCATTTTCAATGGCTCTCGTTTTATTCTCCACCTACCAGTGAAGAGTCGATTTTAAACGAGATTAAGACAGTCGATTGGAGACAGCGAATAAGCCAGTCACGGAAAAAGGACCAACGTTTTTTTCTGAAACTCTTTGCTGTGTTACTCTCCTCCTAGAAGAAAGACAACAGTTTAAGCTCTTTAAAAGAACATGAAGCTCTTGGTCAATTGCTGGTTCTGGTTTGGATCCTTGTTGATCCCACTGACGTGCTTGATATTAAGATCACAAGCTGGAGTGGTGGAGGACTTCTCCCATGTCGAGCGCTGTAAGGATTTTCTTTATATGGGCACTCCGCCACGAGGTTACCTCAGTACTTCTCTAAAAAAGATCTGCCAACGGTTTGTGGACGAGCCTCGCTTCATCACCTTCTACAACCCCCAAAAACACATCCCCATCTATTCAGCATACATCTTCAAGAAATCAGATGGGGAGAAGCGGGTAGACGTTCCCTGGATGTTTGAACCACAGGTGAGTGTGTGCTAAGAATAACATATTCAGTAACCTCTGTATGAACACTTTTGAAACATGATCAAAAGTGACAGTAAGACTTTTACATTGTAACAAACAAACAATGCTGTCCGTAGGACTTTCCTGTATCATGTTTCACATGAAAATTTTAATCAGCACAACTGTTTTCAACAATGATAATAATAGTTTCAAAAAAAAAATTCTTGAACAGCAAATCAGCATATCAGTAAGATTTCTAAATGATCATGTGACACCGAAGACTGGAGCAATGATGCTGAAAATTCAGCTTTTATCACAGGAATAAATTATATTTAAAATATGTTCATATAAAAAGCAGTATATATATAATATATCAAATCTGTTTTAAAACAAAATGTTTATCTGTGAATGTGAATGTATGGAGCCCCTAAAGGAACACTGTGATGGAAAAAATATAAGAATGGAGGGAAAATGTATTTTAAAAACATTAGCATTCTCTCGCAAAAGTTTTGCGTTCCCTCACAAAGAACTCAAAAGGTTTGCAAAGATTTAGCGAAAGAACGCAAAAACATCGAAAAATATTTTTTCCTCCCATCTCATTTTTTCCCCTCACCATGTCCCTTTAGGGGCTCTGTATGAATATGATCTGGATATTAGTTTATTGTAATCATAACATTTGGCAAGGGGGTTCAGTCTTCTTTTTCTTCACTCCTCTGGGTCTCTTAATCTTGAATCGCTAGAGACTGCGGTCTTTAGTGTCCTTGTTAGCGCACCAGTCTCCCATGCCGGAGATGCAGGTTCGAATCCCACTCGGAACGGGGCGAGTAGGACCGGAGGGGTTACATTAGTGCCGTGATCTGGAAAGGAGAGAGGTTTAGGGCCAGCTAGTGAGAGCTGTACATTTAAACCTCACTCCCCTGATCTCAAGAGGCGTACTAGCGACTGATTTTATGGCGCTTATCCACTGCATGGTACAGCTCACTTTTCATATGCATCAGACGTTCAGCCCACGATCCGTGGGCGTGACGTCAGAGGCTAAAACTATACAGTACCTAGTACTTTTTTAAGTAGCACCTTGGTTCAGGTTATAAGCGAGCCGTACGATACTAAAATGTGACGTGTAAACACTGCAGATCACTGATTGGTCAGAGAGAATCATTACTACCAGCGTCATTCGATTTGCAATATTTGGATTTGGCGCAATCAGTCTATAATCCCACCCACTTTGAAGCTGTACTAAACTGCAGTGGAAAAGCAAACTAAGCCAAAGTAAAGCGAGCCGAGCCGAGCCGTACCATGCAGTGGAAAAGCCCCATTAGAGACTTGTTAGCACGCCTGACATGCCGGTTCGAGTCCTGCTCAGAGCGGGGTGAGTAGGACCAGAGGGATTACATATGTTAGATCTTCCTCACCTGTGTTTCTTATTTTTCACAGCTGGCAACTGATAAAGGAAGCAGTAACATGGAGCCGTTCCCCCAGTCCACCTTCATGCACAAAAACTTTGAAGACACGCAGGCTGTGTTAGAAGACTACGCGGACGTGGTCCAGTATGAACGTGGCCAACTGAACCCAGATGAGCATCAGGTAGACCCGCTGGACAAGGCCGCCACCTACACCTTGACCAATGTGGTTCCCCTGATAAGAGAGTTCAGTTTTGGTCCCTGGAGCACACAGGTAGAGGTTACCCGCAAACGCCTCAACAACTATTGCCACGGAAAGGCTTATCTTATCACTGGGGTCACAACATCAGGTAATATGATTCGACGTGAGAACCAAGATCGTGTCGCCATCCCAGAGTTCGTGTGGACGGCCTATTGCTGCACGGATTACGATCACAACGCCCCCTACTCAGAGCGGTACAAGTTCCCGGCGTTTGGTGCCTATGGTCTCAATGATCGCGTGAACAACCACATAGTGGAGGTTCCCATCAAGAATCTGGAGAAGTTTCTCAAGGGCAAAATGGAGGTGGACAAGAACTTCCAGATCTTTTACAATGACTGTGTGCCAGACTTGTAAGGATTCATTGAATGAAGGCCTTCAGCCACAGGTTAAATCATTATTATTTCAAGATATCATACAGGGTTTCTGCAGGTTTTATGAAGGTAACCTTAAGACGTTTTTAAGACCAAGTAAAGAATATTTAAGGAGTAAATTGAAGGGAACACAAAACATCAATATTATGTTCTCTAAATGTCTAAGGAGAAACACAATGAGTTGTATTAGCAACATTTCAGAGTTTGAAAATAAAACTTCCAACAGATATCCCTTACTTTTTAATTCATTTTACAATTATTCTGCTCAAAGCCACTACAATATGGAAATAAATTTTACTGTACCTTCTGATCACACTGCAAAAAAAGTCTTTATTTCCAGTACAAATATCTAAAGATTCCTAAATCAAGATATGTTTACTTCAGATGTAAAATGACAAAATATAAAGTCTGTGAAATTGATTCAAATTAAGTTTATAACTAAAACAAGAAAAAATATCTGCCAATGGGTTTAAAAAAATAAGCTTAATTTAAAAGTTTTGACAGATATTTGTTCTTGTTTTAAGCATGAACTCACTTCATTTTGTTCAATTTTTCAAGACTTCATTTTACATCTCAAGTAAATGTGTCTTGGTTTAAACTTGTTTAGATATTTGTTTTGGAAAACAGGACAAAAATACTTCAAGATATTTATTTTTTGCAATGCATGCAACATTTAATGCCATGACTTTATGAATTTATGACTTTCTGCTCTGATTTAAGACTGTTTTAAGGCCTTAATTTGTGTCAGGGAGAATTAAAACTTTTTAATATTTTTTTAAATCTTGCAGAAACCTTGTTATATATATCTATACACATTACAACATTAAAATATATATGATAATGATGAACTTATTATCTATTCCTTGGGGACAAAGTAGTTCAAACTGCTTTTTTTAGATTAACAATATCTACATGCTAAACATTTAAGCAAGGCAACTGGGCCTCATTTATGTTTTGATCTTTTTCTTTAGAAGCAGTATGTTTTATAACATGCTTTATAGACTTCATGTGAAAGTCAGATTTTGGATCATTTAAAAATAATAAATTACTATAAATGTAAGCAAAACAGTGAGACAAACATCAAGATGCCGTTATTAGAGTGAGAAAAAAATGTTGAAATAAAATGTAGTAATAAAATGTAGTGTCCCATATGGTTCATTTATCAGTTCGTTGTCATGGTTTGGTATTCAAATCATCTTTGAGGTACATGATGATAATGCAAGAAAGAAATGATAATGGAAGTCATCATGCCATTTTTATTTAGTTTTTTTTTATTCACGTGATGAGGTCAAACAGAAAATGACTATGACATCTGTAAAAATCCTATACTACAGGTTACAACAGATAATGTGAATTTTATTTTTTACAATCTAACAAGAAACAGTCACTTCTTGGCACTAAGAGGCAGGCAAAGATTATAGAAAGAACACTGATCCATAGAAGCAACTGGTTTCCATGAAACCCAACCTTTTCTTTGCAAAGAGTTTTTATCTAAGGGACAGCCAAAGTAGTGAGGGTCCATAACAAGCAGATAACTCTCCTGTTTACCAGTGCACACACCTAAGATCCCCTTGGAGGAATTATCCCTGTCTCCTCCCATCATAACAGGTGACCCACGGGTAAGAAAGTGGTTGTGAAGATCCTCAACGGTTTGATCAAGCTCCTTTCCGTTCCGCACATGCACTATGCGGCAGGGAACATCATAGAGCTGGTCAAGAACAAGACTTGCCTCAAATGTCCCTATCCACTCCCTGGATCCCATGAATGAATCTGGTTTGTCCCCTATTTCCACCAAAGTTTGTTGTATTTCAGGAAGACTAGGTGGGTGTCTGCGCCTGTGGCTCACACTCTGAGGTTGATTAAGACACAGCCATGAACACATGGTCTGAATAGTCCTGTATCCACAACCCCAGCCTCTGTCATCCTTGCCATCACAACCATAATGATAATAGAGACAGTCTCCTGATATCACTGAGCATCTGTCACAGTCTGGAGACGGCTGAGGTAGTCCATCGTGAGCATTTTTTACTAATATATCATCCCATGTTTCGTTGTTGGCTGTTATTTGTCCACAAACATGTCCACCCCAATCTATACACTCAGTTTTCTCGGTCTCTTCCATGTCAATACCAATTGCGTCGTGTATATCTACGATAGTTACCGTTTATTTACTAAATAAGAGAATGAGCGTTATATGGGATTTTGGCATCTCGTTACAAACGTCCATCTCCGAAAGTCTTCCCTGTGGTGTGGGAGCTCGCTCGAAAACAGTTCCGCCTCAATTTCGCGCAATTCACGAATCTTTTCTGTTTTACACACAACCCCCACATATGACGACTTATGCTTCTGATGTGAAAATGTGTAAAGCAATTACAACTAAATTAGATTTATGAATCTTCAGTTATTATCAAATAACGAAACAAGGACATATATTCTTTACCTTATGTTTAGAGGGTTTATTTAAGATTGACGCTATGGAGGCCTTCGCAAACGGTCCAGGTAAACTTTAGATAAAAAAATATGTCAAAGCAGTAAATCTTTTTGAACGATTCATCAAAAGAAATATGAAAATAATAGAAAAGAATGCTGTACAAAGTCTTTTTCTTGTCACAGTCCATCAGCAGAGGGAGCCAGTGTTCTGGGAAATATCCCTTAACCCATTCAAGTTTTGCTGTGGAGAGAACTGATAATTTTGGCCAGGACTATGAATAAGGTAAGGAGTGAACCGCAACGTAAAAAAAAAATGATACCATTTCGAGATTAAAGTCGAAACATTACGGGAATAAAGTCGTAATATTTTGAGAATAAAGTCAAAATTACTCGAATACAGTCTTCCGTATAAGTTCTTTGTGTGTCTGAGAATAAAGACAGTTGACTCTTCTGTCCATTTAGAAACAACTTAGAAAAACAAAAAGAGTGTAACCTCCAATCAAAAGGTTAGAAAGATAAACCACACAACAAGGGGAGCTATAAGATGTCAAATAGGCCTACATTGTTTTCTAACGCATATTACGCAAGACACGTGATCTCTAAACAATCATATGCATTAGCACAACAAAACATAGGAAATATTTCGACTTTATATTCTCGCAATATTTCGACTTTATTCTCGTAATTTTAGAAAAAAAATGCGTTCTGTTACGTACATTAATTATTGAGACAATTTGGCTGTGCAATAAATCCCAATCTAGAGGTTGAGTATTGCCTATGTTTTCTTGTGCTAATGCATAATTGTTTAGAGATCACGTGTCTTGAATAATGCGTTAGAAAACAATGTATTTGACATCTTATTTGCTCCCCTTGTTGTGTGGTTTATCTTTCTAACCTTTTGATTGGAGGTTACACTCTTTTTGTTTTTCTAAGTTGTTTCTAAATGGACAGAAATAGGTTCATCCTCAACTGTCCATTTCCCATACAAGTGAAGATAAACATAAACAAAAACTTATGCAACCAGAGAAACGACACTGGTGGCAGAAGGAGTATTATTATGCATCACTCTGTCAATAATGGTTCCAAAGCAGAAACAAAGCCCAAAATATCTCTGGATAGACTGGATGCCATTGTCAAGGAAAAGAAAACAACCTGTATGAGTATAAACAAATGGATTGGTAAACACAGTTGTTTTTGACCTATTATTGCATATTTCTGTTTGAGGCACTGTACGCACGTGATGGCCATATTTTCATTGAATTATTAAATTAAATGACGCTGAATTAAGAAACGCTACAATTCAGCAACCAAATATTTAATTTTGAAACAAAATGCTGGAAATTAAGGAAAATTTTATACTTAGATAATGGCTGACGATACTTAATACTTGAAACATATTATATTCCAATCATATATTTTGAAGTAAACATAATAGGGCTTGACATTGACACTCACCCAATGCGGGTGTATTTCAGCAGTGGCGTGTAACGCAGTCACTCCTACTATCTACTTTGGCTGGTTGAATTTTATATATAATATATCCATTTTTATTTTGTAGTCTTTTATAAAGGCATCTGAAATAATAAACTAAGTGCAATGTAGTGTTGCCAAAAAAAATTATATTTCGATACATATCTATACTGAAATATATGAAACGCTTAATACTCATTTTCCGCAGAATAGATACACGATACAGCTGTGCTTTCCTGCTCTCTCATCTCTCCGACAGCGAGTTACACACAAACCCGCCTCCCCTCACTCACTCGTTTCATTTGCTCCGGATGAGTATTGTTGGTGTTACAGGGCTTGAATATCGGCGTGGGATTGCGTGTATTGTGCATAATTTTACTCAATCCTGCAGATTTGTGCTCACACACAAAGTGCAGTCAAATACACACAAAATAATTTCAAAATGCCCGTCTTGGCAAGTATTCACGTAAATACAGTCAGTTATGTTTTAAGTGAACGTAAACAGTTGAGATTAAGAAAGAAAACGCATGTGTAATGGTATAATGGATCCGTGGGTCAGGTCTTAAAGTGACAGCAGCCTAATATACCGGCTGCCAAATAATGAGATCATATTAAAAATATCTATATAACCCCAGGCAGTTTTCTTCCATGGTATCGATGTCAAAATTGTGGCCAGTGAAAATGTTGAGTGGCATTCACTTTTTTGCTCTCCAGCTTGTTGCTACTGTTGCTAGTTGCTGGTGAGCAAAAAAAGTGAATGTCAAGCCCTGGTTGTAACAATGGCTTTTGTGGATGGTCCATTGAAACCAAAGGGGTTTAAACCATTACTAAAACAAGGTCAGATTTAGCAGGTAGCATGCATGAAAACAGATCACAAGGTCATGGAATAGACTACGATAAACAATGCATGATAAGAGAAATATGAATGCTGGCCTGAAATTGAATGTTTTGACTTGAGATAGACTAAAGATGAACACTTAAGATCAGACACAAATCTGGATATGGAAGACATTTCAAAACTAACTTAAATGTCAAGTCCCTGATGCAAAATACTGTGGTTAGGATGGAAAAATAAAACCCTGTGCTTAAAGAGGTCAAACTTGTGGGTATGTAGTTATGAGTCAAGCTGGACACAAGACTGTACGGATAACTGTAGGTGAGTGGAGGCTGGCAAAGTCATTGGATGCAACTTTTTCTTGATGGGTCCTTTTCTAAGATTTTGTTGACAATGTGTGTCCATTTTTAATGCTTAAGAATAGCATGCAAATAGTTTAATTAAAAAGCATATAGGAATTATTCATTTGAGTGTTGCCAAAACGTTTTTTTTTAACACTTTGTTGCCAAAACCTTACTAAGCTCACAGATGTAACATTTTTTTTGATGTGTACAGAACATTTATGTAATGTTATGTAAGACACTTGCAACTGCATTATTGGTTTAGCTTCAGAAGTTGTTTAAAGTACAGCTGTCTTCATTCATGAAATTGCCTCAGGATTTCTTTTTGTCTGTCGGCTGGCTGTTTGTAATTCTCTGAATGGTTTAACTGTGGATTTGGCATAGTGACATGATTAGCATGCATCTGCTGTTTAATAATGTGCAACGGCTAGAACAAGGTGTAATTAACCACAATAACTGTCAATGGTAGCGCATTACACACAAGCCTCTAATTTAAAATGTTCTTAACCTATGTTTATTGGTGTTGAATGAAATGTACACTATGTGACTTTATGCACAGCGGGTTTTTGACTAATGCTTTTTTGCACTAACTAAAAGCTTAAAAAAAAAAAAAACATTTTATCCAGTGGCTGTTTGGCAATTTCTGGAGCAAAACTATCTTATAGCATTTTAATTATAACGAGTTGTAGAAAGGGCAAATCATATGCATTGGGAAAGAAAGCTGTTAAGCTGTGGATGATATGGAGGTTGTTTGAAATTACGCTGTAATTTATTAAAGAAGCCGTTTGAATGAATTATAAAAAAAAAGATTTCTATTTCTTTCTGCTGGAGAGAGCAAAGGCTAAAGCTAGAAATATCCCGATATTCTTCAGCCAGTAAAAGCTGGCCTTCTTATCATTGTAAAGTGCAGATTTTATCAGTAGATGAAGCTATTTGCAGTCTATTAAAATCCCCACACTTCGGAAAGAGCAGTGTGATATTTATAGCTGAAGATGAAGAGGTGGGTAGCAGGGTCCCGGGGTCTTCCTGAAACCATCAGTCAGGTTGATTCGAGCAGAGCCACCATCAGGCTGTGTGTGGGAGAACGCTGCCAAAGATCATCGGCAGCTTTCCTCTTTTGGCCTGCAAACCCTTATCTTGAAATGAAGAAAGAGCTTCACATATTTATCTATCACTATGACAGCAATGCATTAACATAACAGTGCTTTGGAGTGATGCATTAAAGTTGGGATAGAAAATGGGATATCAATGTGCTGTGTGTGTGTGTGTGTGTGTGTGTGTGTGTGTGTGTGTGTGTGTGTGTGTGTGTGTGTGTGTGTGTGTGTGTGTGTGTGTGTGTGTGTGTGTGTGTGTGTGTGTGTGTGTGTGTGTGTGTGTGTGTGTGTGTGTGTGTATATATACAGTATATATAGGCTATATATATATATATACACACACACAGTACTGTAAAAAAAAAGTTTTTTAAATACTCTTATGCTCACCAAAGCTTTTTGATTTGATCAAAGATACAGTGAAAAAGTTAAATATTTTTACAATTTAAAATAACTGTTTTCTATATTAATATATTTTAAAATGTAATTTATTCCTGTGATGCAAAGCTGAATTTTCAGCATCATTACTCCAGTGTCACATGATCCTTTACTCTAATATGCTGATTTGGGGTTCAAGAGTTATTATTAACAATGTTGTATTGCTTAATATTTTTGTGATAAGACACATCAATATTCTTTGATGAATAGAAAATTCAAAAGCATTTATTTGAAAATCTTTTGTAGTATTATATTTACTGTCACTTGTGATCAAATTAATGCATCCCTTTTGAATAAAGGTATTAATCTCTTTCCAAAGAAAGAAAACAAAAACATTTACTAACTTTTTTAATAGTTTGTGCATGCTTGCGTGCGTGCGTACATGTGTGTGTGTGTGTGTGTGTGTGTGTGTGCACGTGCGTGTGTGTGTGTGTGTGTGTGTGTGTGTGTCTGGTAGCATGTGGGCAAGGATAGAAATACCAGTAAATTTTGACCTTATGGGCACTTTTTTTTGTTCACATGAGGAAAACAGCTTATAAAT